AACACAAGGGCGGAGGTATTCCTGCCTCTCTTGAGCGACTATAGTTTTTATGTCTTTCTAAAGAAAACAGAAATAGAGGAGGGTGGTCTCCTGGCCATGTGCTTGTGCCCCCAGGGCCAGGCCAGGAGGATGCGCTGAGCAGGGGAAGTGAAAGGGGCCCCGTGGGAGGGGAGTGCTTGGGCTCTCTCCAGTGAAGGCCCTGTGGTCGGCCTGGGTGTCCCCAGCTGTCACCAGGTTACTTTGTTCCTGGAGCTGAGGGGTTCCCCGCCACAGGAAGTAGACTCATTCATGGAAGTCAGCCCCCCTCAGACCCTGACCCTACTTGTTCTTCTGCATCTGTTCGTTGCCTTGGCTCAGAGAATAACACTTAGTGTATAAAAAGATTCCCAGTGGCCCCCTCGCTCCGGCAGGGCCGTCATGTCTGTGGAGCTTCCTTTCTGGAAGGCCTGGGGTGGGGGGAGGGGTGCGCCGCAGCCTCCCGCGGGCCCCACAGGCTCGTCCAGCTTCAGTGGGTTGACCGGTCCCCATCCTTGCAGGCCCCCAGCCCATGCAGGGACAGCAGTGGAGCGGGACGGAGCCTCCGGCTTCCGGGACCCAGAGCAGAGGGGCCCGGCCTCGGTCCCCACCCCGCCCCCTGCCTACAAGGCCTTCCTTTGGCCCCGCTCTCAGATTCTTCTCTCTCCAGCCTCTCGGGGACATTCCTTCCTCAGGGACACCATTCTCTGCCAAGGAAAGGGCACTGCCTGAGCTGTCTATGCCCCTTCATCCCCACACCCGCCTTGTGAGACGTTCCTGAGCATTTATGGGCCGAGGCAGACGTAACTCCGCGTCTGGTCTTTTTGTCCAACCTTTGAGGCAGGGGCTGCTGTTGAGCCCATTTCACAGCTGGGGAAACAGAGGCTTGGGAAACCTCAGGCCTCCAGGTAGTAGGTGCTAGATCCGGGCGTCTGACACCAGCATACTCTTCATCCCTGGGGTAGTTCTTGTCAGCTGCCACGCGGCATTAGGATTTTTTCCTTTCCTCGTCTGTGTGCCCTGTTAGAATGTGAAATGGATCCCTGAAGACAAACCTTATCTTGCTTCCCAGCGGGCCCCCTCCAGAGCTGCAGCCCGGGGCCTGGTGGTTTACCCGGGGCCAGCTGATGGGCTGAGGCAAGTATGGGGTGGCTGCCAGGTTGAGGTGTCCCTCCAGGGGATGGACAGTAGGGCCAGAAGGTCAGCGACCTGCTGGGCAGTGGCAGGGGGCGAGCTGACCAATCCAGAGCCCAGTGATGGGCCAGGCGGGACCTGCAGGGTGTCGGCTGGGTCCGCTGCAGGCTAGGGAAGCCACCACGTGCCTGCCGGCGGTCAGGGCATCAGGGCCCTTTCCCACACCGCTCAGGAGTCTGGGCCAGCAGTGTGGGCACATGCAGGCCTGAGCCTTCTGTCCTCCTCTGCCCTGACCTCACCACTATTGGGCCTTCACCTGTGGGAGACAGGGAAAGGGAATGACAAGGGACATCAGCCATTCTCCCTCCTTGTTGGCACGTCCAGGCAGAGCTCTAGTCAGGGAAGGGGAATATGGGCTATTTCCTCCTCGTTTCATATACGAGGTCACAAGACAAGTGAGGCCTCAGGGACAGTCACCTGTGTACCTCCAGGACGTTCTGCGTTCAGGAAGCTATTACCACCATCACTTACAATCTTAGAAGGTCGGTGCTGTCATAAGCCCCATTTTACAGATGAGAATACTGAGGCCCATGTTAAGTAACTTGCCCAAGTTCCACAGCCAGTGGGTGGTGGGGCCAGATTTTCACTCTAGGCTGTCTGGAGGTAGAATCTGTGTTCTGAACCATGCTGCCACTCCACAGAAACAGCTACAACGTCAAGAAGACCTCTGGGGTTTCTTTCATGGAGAAGACCTTTTAACTTTGAATATTAACTGCATGCACATTTAGAGCAGCTGAGGGGCTGCTGATAGTTCTTTGCAAACTTTATCCCTTTAAAGTTCACAACAGACTGTTGGGTAGGTGCGTCTATCAATCCCCACTTTACAGATAAGGAAACCAAGGCTGGGAGGGGTAGAAAGGCCTGCCCCCAGGTCATGTGGCTAGACAGGGGCATTGCCAGGATTCGTGTCCAGATGTGTCTGCCTGACTCAACTGCTGTGTCAGGTCAGCTTCGCAGAATCCCAGACTTTCTGTGCAGGGTGAGAAACCAAATGCTCTCGATATTTGCTCGGTGCTCATGTAATGGGATCAGGGAGGCACTGATTTTTCTATAAAAATCCTGTCCTGAAATTGATCCATTCATTTCCTTCCACGGGCGCAGAGTCATTGCTTTTTGTGTTTTGATGGTCAAGACTTCGCCCACCTGTTGCTTTTGCTTTTCTTTAACGCTTTCCCAAATCAAGCCAGCCCAGGGGGGAAGACTTTGCCCTGTTTCCTGTCTTGGGTAATAAGAGGTCACTGGCTCCTATTTGGTTTCTGGATTGCCACTGATCATGACCCCACGTGGAATAATATCCTCCTCTTAGGTTGGTGAAAGGTAGCAGGGATACTTTTCACGCCTCATGGAGATGTTTTAGCACCTCGGAGATGGCCCTTGGGCTGGCCCACCCCTCTCTGCGTCTCCGAATCCGTCCCTGTGCCACCAGCAAGGGCTGTGGGTGGATGGAATGAGAAGAAGCCTCTTTTCTCTGGCGTCTTAGCTCCACCACCCCCTGGGAGGGGGTTGATGAGTTCCCATCTCTGGGCCTCAGTGTTGCTGTCTGAAAATCAGAACGTGGTATCAGTTGTTCACCAAGGTATTTTCCAGCTCTGAAGCTCTGTGTCCCCGGGACGCTGGGGGGTGTGAAGTCACTCCAAAGCTCTCCAAACAGAAGGGTGTTCGTACCTCTGAGGTCATTAACTTGAGGATGTCTTATTCACCTGCGGGCCCGGGTCAAGATCCATGCTGTCCTGTGTGGCTCTCTTGTGTGTGTGTTCCCAGACACGACCTAAAAAGCAGCCCAGGTGCGTAGGCTTCTCGGCACACAGCTCGTGAACGTAGACATGTCTGTCCCGTGGCGCTGTGTGACGGCCTCCCTGTTACACTTCCATGATCCCAAATGGGCCATCCTTAAAAGAGGGAGAGGCAGTGAAGTGACAGAAAATCTTAGTACTGGAAAGGCTTTAAGGTGGAAAGGCTTTAAGGTGTTAGCACAAAACTCACCGTCTCTAAGTCCTGCACATGTTGGGCACTGAGTGGCACTTGGGATACCCAGTTAGCCAGGGGCTGTGCCAGTGCCCTGGGAGGGGGCAAAGTTGAACTCACGTCGTTCGGGGCACTGTGACTGTGATTAGGATGGAGCAGCTTGAAGCTAAGGGGACCAGGTGAGGGTGATGGAAGCAGCTCCTCGGGGGCCCCAGGTCTGTTGGTGACTGTGGAGGGGAGGAGGGCTCTGGGGGCCCCTCTGCAGCGCTGGCTCAACCTCCCCACTTTGGGGAAGGCCAGCCTTCCCGTCTCCGGGAGACAGACAACATGCAGACATGAAGGCCCCACCGAGTGGCTCGTGCATACCTTTTCCACAGCGAGGAATTGGGGTATTGTTGAACCATGCTACTTGATTAGGAAATGCATCAACCTTGTTGGGTGTCTGTCAGTCCAGAGTTCACTTCCTCTGCAATCCCAAGCATACTGTAGAGTCTGTTAGTACATACTGACAGGGCATCTCTGTCTAGCGAGGCAATTCCTCTTCAGACCTGCAGTTTGCTTACCAGCTGCCAACCCAAGTTGCCTCCATCGGCGGCTGTCCGGGTCCTGTGTCCGCGACACTGAACGGCCGTGAGCCCGCTCTTTTGCTCAGATGACTAATGTGTGGGACATTGACTGTGGAACCCACTCGCATAAAAGCAACGCTCGGTCGGCAGTGCTCAAAACGGAACGCAGGACCGCCGTCCTTGGATTTGGCTTATCGAATTCCCACAGGACGACGGTCAAGGGCAGGCACACCAGGACAGCCCTACCCTCTGAGTCAGAATCTCTCAGGACCACCATGGACCCCCCCCCCCATGGCCCTTACGTACACTAAGCATTGAGAGCTGCTGTTAGAGTGATAGGCTCGCCGTCCTGCTGGCCACTTAGGAAGCAACCCTCTGTGATAGGATATGTTATAATGATAAAGCACAGGGCTGTTGACCGAGGGCCTGCTCTGTGCGTGGCCCCATGCCAGGTGCTTTCTGTGTGGGCACTCACTGAATCCTTAGAACAACTCTGAGACGTAGCCACGATTGTCCCCGTTTTATAGATGGGAAAACCAAGACCTGAAGGAATCGAGTGATTTGGGCAAAACAGGAGTAGTTGAACATTCTGGTGAGTCTAGGAAGGGAACCAATGAAGCCAGTTGGTCCAAGGAGGGAGAGACCAGAAAGAGAAGCTGGGGCTTCCCAGGCCCCTGCCCTGGAAGAACGTCGCCCCCTGGGAGGCCCCTCTGGGAGGGCTGCTGTCAGCACCTTGGCTGGGAGACCGTTCGAGCCATTCGAAGCTGTGCCTTGGAAGCTTCCTCCCTGCTCCCCCCGGCCAGCAGTGACTTCCGAGGGCCCCAAAGCGTCCGTTGGCAGGTGCACATTACACGTGCCCGCTGACTTCTGATTTCCCAGGAAACCCAGCCTCCCAAGCCGGGTGGGGGCCACGTCCCTTCACCATTGTCCCTGTTCCTGGCTACCATTCATGGGAGGCCGGTCCAGCTTGGCAGCAGCCCCATCCCTATTCCTGCGCCCCTCCGCACCCTGCCCCGGCCTCCGGAAGCCCAAACAGCTGATCTAAACCGGAAATGCAGCCCCTGCAGCCGCACCTGGCCTGGCTGAAAGGGGGTCCTAGCAGCACGCGCCCCAGGCCAGGCCTTCCCAGGGCAGCCCTTGGCTCCAGCACCCTCTGGCACGATTTCCCTCGTCCTGCTTCCTGGCCTCCCCAGATGGGTGGAAAGTGCCGCTCGCAAAGGCTGTCGCAGCTCTCCGCAGTGTTTCCAGCCAGCGCCCAGAGTCCCAGTGCTGTAGCTGCAGGGTCTGTGCCAGAAATCTCTGTGGGAAGATGAGGTGGGGCTGCAGGTTTAGGCACCAGGAAGCCCCTGCAGCTGCATCAGCCATTCTGTGGCCTTTAAAGTCCCTGCCATCCCCCACGTCATTCATCGACACAGCTTTGAGTGTCCGGTACGGGCCAGGCGCTTGGGGATACAGGAGTAAACAAAAAAAGTGAAAGCTACCCGGCCTCCCAGAGCTTGCCTTCTGGAAGGGAGAGCCACACCGAATAAGGACCCTGGGATAAGAGCATCCGAAGGATGTGGGTGAGCACTAACCGGGAAAGGGGACGGGAGAGCTGAGGGTTCCAGTGGTTTCTCTTAACAACTCTTGCTGATTGGGAACTTTCCTAATTGCTCTCTGGGACGCCTGCAGTCCGGCCGCTTCCACCTGGGCTTTCTCCCCCACCTCACCTGCTTCCAGGTTCCGTTAACTGAGCTGGAGCCGCTGGGGCAAGGGGGGTGCTGCCTCCAACAGCCTGCCCCAAGAAGGGCACCTCACCTCCTTACGAGCCCTAGCGTCCCCAGATGCCTGGCTGAGGGCGCCAGCTGGTGGCCCGTAACAAACCCAGCCCAAACAAGCATGGTTTGGCCCACGTATTAAGAGAATTTTTTTAATTGTAGCTAACATTTAAGAATGCCAAGATTTCACATAAAATCTGGTTTTCTGGCTCTTCTTGAGAAATGGAAACATCTTGAAAGACCAGGTTCCCATTCCCTCCTGGCAACAGGAGCCAGATTTAAGAGGCATCACTTACTTTCAGCGGCCCAGGGACTTCTGGCTGGCTCTGGAGGGCATTTTGAGTTTGTGACCCTAATCCGGGTCACAAATTTAAACCCTGCCTACAAAACAAGTAATTTAACCATTAGCCTGAAAGCACCAAGCCCTGGAGGTTAAAATCCCCTCAGAGCCCTTAGCTCCCTGTGGCCTTGTCAACTGAGCCTGGCTGGGCTTCTGCTTCTGGAGGTGAGTACTGGGCCCTTGGGCGCCCAGGGTCTCCTGCACTTCTACCTTATCTGCCAGAGCTCAAAAGGCTTCCCATCTGTGCGCCTCTTCCTTCTGCATCGGAAAGGTAGGAAAATCTCCTACAGACCTTGAGTCTTTGTAATCAAAAATCCCGTGCTTCCTCAGTGACAAGGACAAATCCTAAGCAACCGATTTCCTGGCACCGTTAAACCCTTTAGGTTTTGTGACAGATTCAGACCAGATTGTTTCTTTAGAGGTTCAGTATTTCTCTCCTTTCTTTTCTAAACATAAAAGCGTTTAAGCATTGTATAATTCCTAGGGGAATGCTAAGTGGCATCCTAAGGATGCATCCAAACATGTTTGAGAACTGTGGCCTTCTAGACCTTTGACCTCTGGCCCTGCAGAATGAACAGTAAGCCCCTTAACCTTAAATCCGAGGACTAGGAAAATGTATTTTGCCCAGGATCACGCTGAGGCATTGCTTGGGTCCCATACGTGCATTAATTTATAGCTGGTGGCATTGGAGCCTACAGGGCAATGGTCCCCCCCACCCCCCAGCCCCAGGCAGCTTTAGAATGCCCTGGGAGCTGGCCGCACTCAGAGCAATTACATCAGATCTCGGGGTGGGGGGGGCAGGACTCAGAGGTGTTTAGAACCACTGCTGTGATCCCAGTGAGCTGTCAGGGGAGAGACCCTTAGCTCCAGCATCTCTACCCTCGATGGTAACTCCAATGGGGGATGTGTGGACCCTGGGGAGGCCACACAGTGCAAAGTCTCAGAGCACAGCCCCAGTTCCCAGCTCCCTGATCTTGAGCAAGTGACTTCTTCCCCCTGTGCCTCAGTTTCCTCCATCCATAAGTTGGGACTAGGAGGATACCTATCTGCTAGAGCATGAGGATTAATGGTGCGTGGCACATAGTAAATGCTCCACAAATGGTCGCTAGGATCTGTGTGCACCCCTCGTTCGCTGTGGATGTGGATCCTTCAGCGATCCCTGCAGACGAGCCCTTTTTGTGAGCAAACGTTCAGGAATTTCTCTGCCAGAAAGAAATGTGGTAGAATCACAGGGAATCAGATCATTGGGTTTCTCTCTCCTCCGGTTCTCAACTCGGCAGGATGATGGCAGGTGCAGCTGAGTTGTCGGGAGGGGTCTTGTATTAGGATTTTCAAGTGGAGAAACTGAGCCCAGGCCCAAGCTAACGGTTGTTAATGGCGGATTGCACCAGACCCCACTCACTTGAGGCCTCCAAATTTACCTTTTCCTCCGGGTTTCCGTTTCTCTGCGTCTTCCCCACCAGGGCAGCAAAACGGAACAGCTGCTCCTTCCCGTTGGGTTCTTATGTCTGAAAGAAATTGTAAACACCACGGAAGATGTTTTAATTTAAAAGAAACCAGTTTTTCTTTCTTTTAAGATGAAACATCGTGAAGTTTTAAAGACTTTTTCAAACAGTCCCTCAATTTGGTACTTAAACTAATTATAGATGCCTTTTTTAACCGTCCACATTAAAAATAGACATCTAAATGAGAACGCAGGACACAGCCCAGAGCCACTAGCCATGTTCACGACTTCTTAGAATCAGCCCTCCTCTGACCTAATTTATACTTTTGGGAGATCAAAGGAAGATGAAGGCGGTCCGGGCTGAGAGCGGAGGTGGGTCCAGGAGCCTCTTGGCAGCAGACGAGGAACCTGGGTTCTGTGTCCTGAGTTTGAGGGTAGCTGTGAGTTGGTGAGTTCCTCATAATAGAACCCTATGGTTCTCAAAGTGTGGTCCCTGGACCAGCAGCATCAGCAGCGCCTGTGTTATGGGCTGGTGTCCCCCACCCCACCCCAAATTCACATGTTGAAATCAGAATGTAACCATGTTTGAAGCGAGGGCCTTTAAAGAGGTGATTATACTAAAATGAGGCCATTAGGGTGGGTTCTAATCCAATAGAACTGGTGTCCTCACAAACGAGGAAGGGACACCAGAGGCAAACGCGCACAGAGGGCATGCACGTGAGGAGGCAGCGAGAAGGCAGATGTCTGCAAGCCAGAAAGGAAGACCTCAGAGGAAATCACCCCCTGCCTCCCAAAACTGTGAGAAATTTTCTTAATTAATTTCTTAATTAAGCCACCCAGTCTCGGGTATTTTGTTGTGGCAGCCCGAGCAAACTAACATGCCTGGGAACTTGCTAGAAATGCAGTCTCAGGCCCTGTCCCTGATCTACTGAATCAGAAACTGGAGGTGCAGCCCAGCAAACTGTGTTTTAACAGTCACCTCCAGGTGACTCCCATGCATGCTAAAGGTTGGGAACCACTAACATAAGTGTTCTCAATACGTGGTGGTAGCCCCCAAAAAGATGTCACGTGATTGGAAGTACAGCTAGTCTGCCAAAATATAAACCTCTTTTACTAGGCTCTAGAGAAGTTCCAGTGTGTTCTTTAAATGGGATGGTGTACGTTAAAGTGTCCGGTAAATTCTGAAGCCGTTGATAGGCATGAGGTGCTCCTAGACCCACCTCCGCTCTCAGCCCAGACTCCCTTCCTCTTCCTTTGATCTCCCAAAAAGTATAAATGAGGTCAGAGGAGGGCTGATTCTAAGGTGTAGAGTGGTAATACTAGCATTCTGTCAGTAGAAGAAAGTGGCCCTCCGAATACTCCGGCATGAGCCAACTGAATCCAAGAATCTCCCTCCTCCACTGAAATTTGAGTCCTTTAAAATCTGGTACATTTTCCACTCCAAGTAATTGGAATGACTCAGAACAAAAGCAAGGAGATTTAATCACATTTCCGTTTTGTCCCTGCTACTAGGAAGCCCACAACTAAATGAGGTTCTTAATCATGGCCCTCATAGTTAGCATATTTGCTTTTTCCTCTTTCAATGTTGTCCTTTGTTGTGTTCTCTTCAAATACCTTTGAGAAAGAAAAAAAGAAGTGGAGAGAGAAAGGGAGTGAAAGAGGAAAGAGACTGATCTCCCAGCTCAGACAATTATCAGATCCCCTGATAAAGACAGATGTTCTCTTTCAGGGACGAAGGACCAAACTGTTCTTCATCAGTGAGTCCTCATCAGTCCCTTGTCTTCCCCTTGGAGAGTTCCCTAACTGATACTCAGGGAACCTGTTAGCTGCCCCCTGCTTGGAGGCAAGTGTGGAAGTGACATGACCAGATTTGCATTTTTTAAGGTTAGAAGTCACCATCTACCTGATCACAATTTCTCACATGCTGTTGATCCTAATAAGCATGGAGAGATCTGGAACTGGCCGGGCTGCCATCAGGAATCTCTCCTGCATCATCTTGGCCATGATGGGGCAGAGGGAGAGGGAGAAGGGGAGAAGCAGACTCCCCACTGAGCACAGAGCCCAGGGACACAAGGCTGGATCTCACCACCCTGAGGTCATGACCTGAGCTGAAATCAAGAGTCAGATGCTTAACCGACTGAGCCACCCAGGGGCCCCTAAAATTATTGTAAGGTAAAAAAACAAACAATTTGAAATTGAAATTTGAATTGAAATTTGAAAAAATTGAACACTAGAGGGCCAGGTGCATTTCTTCCCCTGCAAGGGAGACTGGATATGACTTACATTTGAGAATGTGCTTAGTCTCTTGACCTGTGCCCCAAACCCTCCCGAGGGGCACTGGCCATACCTCGTTGCAGCAAGCGCACCATTTGTCACCTAAACGGTCATGGAGGAAAAGGAAATGGAAAGAGAAAGAAACCTCAAATACCACATTTCAAAGCCCCATTGAGTTAATTTTGTCTCTGCAACTGGACGTAAAATGACACCTTGGTATCGTTTCCATTTCTCATGGCTTTGTGGTCCTGAATGCGATATTAACTGACATGCTACCTCCCTGGAGATTCAGGGGGCCAGAGAATTGTCTACAACTGAAAAGAGCTAGGGGAAAAAAAAACTGGGGGAGATCCCTTGGCTTCTCTGCTCATTTAGTGATTTATTGCCTTCAAAAGAGTCTAAAGAGATTTGAACAGGCAAAACTGATGGGTCTTTTCTCCTTCCTAGTCCTTCCATTTCCTTTTGGATAGTTTGTTGTTGTTGTTGTTATTTGAATGGTATGAATGCTCCTCTTAAGGTGATGAATACTACCTGCTAAGAAGTTAGGAAATGGGAAACAAACCGAGGGTTGCTGGAGGGGAGGTGGTTGGGGGGGGATGGGGTAACCGGATGATGGGCATTAAGGAGGGCACATGATGTGATGAGCACTGGGTGTTACATGCAACTGACGAATCACTAAATTCCACCTCTGAAACTATGTTAACTAAATTGAACTTAAATAAAAATTTTTTTTAAAAGTCAGGAAAT